CAGTTCATGGGAATGCTGTAACTTTAAAAAATGAGCAAAAACTGAACTAAGTCAAGGCTCACAAGTATAGCATCCAAGCAGGAGCTATTGGATAATCCTAGATCACTGCAACTATTAGAAAACAGATTTTGGAGAAACATGATAGTACAGAACTGGCAAAATTCCTGTGGAGATCAGTCAGTCTGAATGAAACCAGGGCCTCTTTGACTCCGTACAAACAGAGAGAGAACATGCAGACTTACAAGAGCAGTAGAGCCTTATACAGAGCCGAGGACTGAACTCCTCACCACAAGAGGAATGGACAAGTAACCCTAAACAGCTAATAGCTGGTGTCCCAAGAAGAACACCATTGAAGGGGGAAAGATCAAGACCAGAGTAAAGCAAATTTGATGAGTATTTGACTCAATATTCCCAGCAGCTTTTCATTTCTGCTGTGCTGTCTGCATATTTTGAGTTGGCCTGGTTAAGTGGCACCATCAGAAGGGAAACAATGAGCCTGGATTCAGCAAAATACTGAGGTCTCTTCCAAGATGGAAAAGACGGGGCCTATAAAACACTGAACAAGCTCAGATCCTATCCTGAGCAGAAGTTCCACAAGCCGTGCCCTGTCCCAGTCTCTTTCACATCATCTAGTCAATGTGACACTGCAGCATTCACTTTAAATAAAGACAGAAGATTGTACCTTCCCTATGTGTTATCTCTGCTGAAAGAAATATCTTTCTTTGACACCATTTTGCATGTTGTGGTTTTGGTTTGTTTTTTTTTTAATTAATTAAGACTATTTATAGAATACTTGGTCTCACAGGGACCAAGTTCATAGAATCATAGAATGGTTTGGGTTGAAGGCTCTGTAAAGATCATCTCATTCCCAACTCCTATTCCCTGGTTTGTTGAAGGGCCAAACAGAGGAACAGACACTGCTCAGGACCACTCTGGCTCTGCTCTTTCCAAGTGCCTGAATGCCTGAGCTTGAGCCTAAACAAACAACATTAGCTTGTTCAGAAAGTTTCTATGCCAAGGACTAATGAATGCATCATATTTGCTGCACACCTAGAGAAACAAAATCAGCTTGAATCAACTTGCAAGTACTACACAATACTGATGGCTGCTGTTAATATGGTGAGAGCCAGAAGTATGGTGTTTGGCTTATCATCTTTAGAACAGAAGACAGTAGAGTAGAAAGAAAGAAGTGGAGACAGCAGAGTGTGTGGTGTCACCACACACCTGTACTGCTGAAGGCACAGTCTAGGAAAGTACCTTTAAGTGGAGCTGACACCCACAGAAATTGTGGCAAAGTGTAAAAAAGTGCTCGTTTCATGAAATAGGCAAAGCCAATAGTTTTTTCCATGGCTTTTTAGAAGTCAGATGCTAGTTAAAACCTGTGTATATGTATACATTCCTTTATATGGATAATTAGCTACTTCATGTGTGGCGCCTCATGGATTAAAGAAAATTCTTCTATGCAAATAAGTGGAATAGACTGGTCAAATTTATATGTGTAAAAACCCCCACTTTTATATAAATGTGTAGAATTTATTTAGGTGAGGTTCTTATTTCACAGACAAGTCTTACTTCCTAGACAGCCAATGGTACATAAAATATTCACTCTTCATTGTGCTCTTAAACAATACCTCTATAAAAACACTGAGGATAAATGATTGATAACATATTTAAATAGATGAGGAAAAAAAGCCCACATGTCTTGGAATTGACTTTTTGCTTTTTCCACTAAACGCTCAAATCATGTCCTTTTGGAATCAATGGCAAAACTCCATTGATTTTTAGGGCTATATTTTCACCCTACATTCTTCTTTTTCAGTAAAAAGTAGATTTGACCCAAGTTTTTCTGAAGATACTGCTTTAAACTATTTCTTCTCTTCTATAGAATAACAGAGTAGGTTCATATTTAAGAATGAAAGCTCATCAAGTTTAAATTTCAGTTGTTTTCTAATAATAGCCATATGTTAGTTATGGATTGTGTAGGTCTGAAGTTTTGGTAATTTAAAACTGCTTTAAAGTGACCTTTACATGGTTCCACATTTCAACAATTTCTAAAAGCAGTCGGTAGAGGTTCTTACTCATAAATGGTTGCATTACAAGATCTGCAGGCCTGGGCCCATAGTAAGGAAGAGGCTCAAAGTAAGGAAGTCCTGTGCACATTTATACACACAGCTAAACTCAGAAATGGAGTCGTCACAATGAAATCCACATAACTGCTCTCAGACCAGGATGAAATGCCAACCTTCAAAAAAGGCCAGTCGTTGTTAATATTTGAGACAGGACACGAAGAAAGATGGACCTTATGCAGTTGTTGTGCTCTTCTCTGGTTAAACAGTGCAAGAAGACAAGACAGTGTGGGAAATACTTTCTCTTTTTTCACTGGCAGCTGGTCAGGATGGGAGGACAGTGATATTGGGGGCAGTATGAAGGTGCAGCTCAGCTCCACTACCACTGCCTGATTTCTGCCATATGATTTCTCCCTGAATTCCCAACCACACTGCAGCTCATCTTGCCTTTTGGTTGGGCTGCTCACAATGCTGCAATTTCTTATTTCTTTGCAGTGCTCCACACCCTATTCTGCTCCATTAATTTGTGTGTCATTCCTTGCATGTCTGAGATCTTTCTCAAAAGCTGTATAATTCCTGTTGTCCACACTTTCCCTCTGACTTTCTATCTGACTGAATATTTCCACTGTTATGGTAAAGGCATTTCATTTTTGGTATTTGAGGATTTTCACCTCAAATCCCAGAACCTTGAAAGTGTTTTTATTTTGATAACAGGGAAACAGAAGCACATCAGCTAAAGCTATTTCCCAGAGACTACACAACATGTGTACAGCAAGATATAGACTAGCACCATATCTCCTGACCCTTCCTTCTAATGCCTTGGTCTTTAGGTGTGAAGTGGAAAATAACGTAACAGAACTAAAAAAGCCATTTTATAAGTGCCACACTCAAGATCAAAACAAGTTTTGATATGCTGACAAAAAGGAAATGCTGATTGAAATCTGCCCTGGGTTGATTGATATCTTAATAGGCCCTTAACTTCTGTGGAATTTTGTTACTTCTCCCATGACATTAAATTTTAAAGTGCTGTATGTGCAGCACTTTTCCCATGAATAAGAAAAATACCATCCATCTAGCAGTTGACCAGATTTCTTTTTCTTTTGGTATACTACTATCTTCAATACCCACCATGATTTAGACCCCTGATACATTTGAACCCATATTAGATGTTTTCAGTGAAAACCCACAGTGCAGCATTAGGAATCCATGTAGCTCTCACTAAATACTATTTCCTAGCTCACAGCTGTGAAGATTCACTTTGAAATTTCCTATTGAGTACCTCTGCCTCCTCAAAAGTTTGGTGTTCATTTGGCCCTAAAACCTGGAAAAGCTTTAGCACAGGCATGCAAGTAATTCCATTAACACATGTAAGTCCACTGATAGTATAATAGGCAGACACACATGTTTTGGAGACAAAGACCTTCTTCAGGAATTAAAATTTTTTTTTGTAATTATTTCATTTTCTTTTGCAAAACTCCAGCCTGGGAAAAGAATTTAAATAGTATACAAATTCGAGGTAATAAGATCAAGCTCTGATTTCATTTCATTGTTACACAAAATGTTTGCTAGTCTTAAGAAATGGACAAAAACCATTAGGCCAGTTACAAAAATTTGAGACCAAATCCTGTAATCAAAGCATCTTTCATTTAATTCAAGCAGAGGAAAACCCAGCCCCTGGAATAAATCCCTATGTATTTTCAGTATGTTTGCAAATAACAAAGTCATGTAATTAAACCTCTGAATACTTCCAGTAATTTTTTTTTTGTGATACCTGTGGTGGCCAGAAATATTACAGAAATGTTTACAACATGGTGCAGCAACAGCAACACACCACACCAACCCTCAGAGACAGGGCAGCACAGAGAAGGACACACGCCTGTCCCATGTACTGACCCTGCAGTGCTTCCAGCCCCAACACCCACCCAAGCACCACGGGCTGCAAGAGGACCAAAACCAAAACCAGCAAGGACCTGTCCGTAAACAGACGTCAAACCGACTGCATTGTCGCTTTAAATTAATAAAATAGGAGAGGAAAGTTATATAACAATTGCAATTGGTTGCTCCACTTTTTGGAAAAATGGCAATACATGCATGGCTGTGTATTGAGGCACTCCGGACAGTGTTTCCTTTGTAAAATGCACGAGGGTGCATTCCAGAGGGAGCTGACCGGGATGTTCTACGGGCGCTACCTGGACCCTTGCAGGCCCGCCCAGTGATGCTGCATTTCCCGGGGCCGGGGACCGGGGGGGACCGGGGGGGACCGGCGGGGACCGGGGCTCCCGTCCCGCCGGGGAGCGGCGGGGAACGGCAGCAGGAGGGAGACCCTCGGAGAAGCCCCATTGTTTAGATTTCTGTCATAAGCCATGAGAATACTTAATTTCTTTCATCTCTGGAGTTTTCATTATCATTCAAATTTCATTTTCCATTAATTGATCGGGGATTAGCGAAGCCATTATGCAAAAATTAAAAGACAAGCCAGATGCGATGAATAATTCATGAGGGACAATTACACTTTATTCCTGGTGCACTTCCTAACTTCCCTCCGACTCCCCGCCTGCCGCAGATGACAGCATTCCCTCCCTCCCTCCCTCCCTCCCTCGCTCCGGCCGTGCTCCGCCGGGAGCCGTGCTCCGCCGTGCTCCCGCACCGCCCCCCGCACCCCCTCCCGCCGCCGGGGTGCCGGCCGGGAGCGGGAGCGGGCGCTCTCCCCGCCCGCCTCTCCGCGCGTCCCACACCCCTCACACCGGGCATCTCATTTATCCCACCGGACAGTTGTTGCCCCATTAAAGCGCAGTCCCGCCCTTCGCGGAGGACCTTTCATCTGGGGAAGTTTTATGACACTTTATAAATGTGCAAAGTTTTTAATTAGACTCGCCAGACAGCCCCAGGCAGCACTAGCGCCACGAAGTCTTCATGCCGCTCTCTGCTTTACAGCACAACAAGCCGCTCTACTCCTTTGAAGACAATGCCGACTATGTCTACGATGTCATGTGGTCGCCAGTGCATCCCGCGCTCTTCGCCTGCGTGGACGGGATGGGGCGCCTGGATCTGTGGAACCTGAATAACGACACCGAGGTGAGGCGGCTCGGCGGCGCTGGGCGGGCGGGCAGCGGGGCGCCGGGCGCCACCTTAACCCTGTGAGAGCCGGCGCTGCCGTCCTCCCCGCCGGGGCTCCGAGGGGCGCCGCGCTCCCCCGGGGCGGGGACAGCCCGGCGTCGGCCGCCGCCCGCGCCCCGGGGCGCGGCGGGGAGGGGAGGGTGAGGGAGGGCAGGTCCCGCTGCCGGGGGCGCCCGCCCGTCCCCCTCTCCCGGCAGCCGTCCCTCCTTCCCTCCCTCCCGCCTCCCCTGCGGCGGGGCTGCTGCGCTCGGTACCTGTCAGGGGCGGGAGCGCCGGCTCCGGCACCCCCGGCACAAAGCCAACGCAATTAAGTGCCGCGGTGCCGGCTCGGGAGGAGGCTCCTTCCCCCTCTGTTATTTTAAGGTGCGCTTTTAAACCGCGCCCGTTCTGCAGGTTTGGGGTTTTTTTATCCCCTCGCCCCGTTTCTGGCGCTCCGAGAGCCAGGTTAGCCATTCCGGGCCGAACGCAGGGATCGCACCTTGGCAGCCCTCGCTGCCAGCGGGGACCGGGCTCCTGTTGGACTGCGGGACTTGCTCTCCCTCTGAATTGATTGTCCTCTGCGCCACAGTCGCTGGGGAATGTAACTTGGAAGCACCGTGCCAGTGCCTCCAGAGTGTCAGAAACCAAGCGTGTGCCCCTGCATCTCCCCTCACATCCTGCCTTTGAGTCTCTTGGTACCCTGCTTCAGGCTTTTAAAGCGCAGGGCATCTTCTCACACGTTATTTGGGGCTTTACACCCTCACCCTTCCTGTATCTTTAAACTTTGCTGTGGAACTTAAAGGTACAAATGCAAATAACTACATTTTCACTGCTATTCGCTAAACAGTGGGGACCACTGGTGAGAAAGGATTAATCAGAGCACTTTTAGCAAAGATTGAGACAGATAAACACTGTTTATTAAAAAGTATCTTTCTGAATGTGCCAAACCTCGCGTTTTTCCTCTTATTATTTCAAATTTTTAAAAACACCAGAGGCATAAATTGATACTGTTTTTTTGGATTTGAGTTTCACCCAAAAATGATTTTCAGAAAACCTGTTATCACCTGAGGTCAATCTTAGATGGCCAGTAATTAATTTCCAGCACAAAAATTGAAGTATTTTTCCACTCACTAAGTCTTCCTTGTTTTTACATAATGCAATGTAAAACTAAGAACAAACAGACTGTAAAAAAATCAAAAGTCACATATTATCTGGTTGGTTTCTTTTTATGTCCCAAAAAAAGAGAAGATGGAAGAACAAGCAGCAGTATTTCCCTCCTTACACCCTATTTTAATTTTTTTTTTTTTTTTAAGATTAGTTGGATCATTAATATACCTTTCACATAAACCTGCTATGCGTTTCAGTCAGAGTAAAATACGGGTGCAGTTTATGGCTTCCAGTGAGTGGTGCTTGCCATAAATAAGCATGGACAGGTAAGAGGAACCAGCACCGGGCACTGCACTGTCAAGGGGAGCACTGAGGCCTTTTGAAGTGCTCTGAGCAGGAAGCAGTGCAGCCTTTTTAATTAGAGCACATACAGCTGGAGGATATTCAGGAGGAGTCTCCTAAGAATTTATTTTGGGAAGGGAGGGACATATCCTTCAGGTGTTCTCATTAATGCAGGCTTAAACACAGAGCATAAAACCCAGCATTTTGAGAAGAAAAAAAAAATCTTTCCCCCCAAGTACCAGGGCTGAAATTAAAATCAACTGATGTTTTGCCATTTTACTCAAGGAGACCATAATTTCTTTCAAAAAAATTAGTCTGGACTGCTTGATCCCATTCCCATCAATAATAAGGCTGTACGTAGCAAACCGCTGTTGCTTTCAGTGTGTTTACATATAAATATATAGGAACATCAAAAAAAAGAATTAATTTCAAGCTTCATCCTGCTTTTATTCTGCATGCAAGGCCACCCCCTGATTTCACAAATTATTTCCGTTCTCAGAGGTCAAAATCAGCTCTCATGTACGATCAGACTGGAATTATTTCCATGGTATCCAAGCTTTGTGTTTTTATGAGAATCAACTTTGGGTCTCTGGACAGAGAATATAATTTGCTTTCCTTGCTGAGCAGTGATGAAGCAAATAAAAAAATCAATATAAATTATAAACCACCAGATTCTGAATAGATGTGAAGTTTTGTTACGCAGGAGAAGCAACAAAAGTATCTCTGAAAGAGAGAACTGCAAACAGTTCTTCTAAGCATCGTAACTGAAAGTGATCGTTGTTTGCTTTTACCCTCTATCTGGTAGGCCATAATTAGCTAATAATTTTCCAGATTTCTGTAATTGATTATGCCGTTTAAGTCTGCACAGCTATTTGCTAAGAAAAACTCCTTGTCAGCACTTCTGCCTTTGTAATAAGAGATCTTGAAACACCTATTTTTTAGATCATTATTACTTTTAGATGTCAGATATGTGATGTCAAAGTATTTGTGAAGACAGTAGAAAATGACAGGTCTATTACTGTGTTTAACTGCTAGCTATTGATAAAAATCTCTGTGTAAGAACTAGATGTGATTGTTATTAAGGAGTCCTGGTTTTGTTTAATTTGTGGAATAAGCCGCATTAATATTTAGGTATCATTTTGAAAATCAATTAAGAAAACACCTGGGTTTAGTTACAATATGCTACCTTCAGATTTTTGAATCTCAGCAGTTTCCACTAGTGTGCTGTCAGTATTTATTGGAAACATTTTTCCTGAGAGCTAGATGCTTTCTGACCAAATAACTTAGATCACTGGACTGTACCTAGGACTTAATCAGTGTAGTAATTATTTTCAAAAAGCTCATTGCAAAGTTGCAAGGCTATTGGTGTACTTTATGTTTATTTCTGCATATCAGAAATTATTTTTGCAATAGCAAGGAAGTACATGACATTTTATTTTATATCTGATAAATGCATATTAAAAAAAAAGTTGAAAAGAAAAAAAAGTCCTCACCCACTCCATCATTCTCTTGCAAACTGAATTTTATTTTTATGGATCAGTGTAGTGAGGTTTGCAAAAAGCTTCAGGATAGCAAATGCTAATTTCTTACTAATGTACCTGTAACATTTATTTTTTGATCAAGATTGGAGATCTCTTGGTGCTTGATGAGTCTTACTTATGTATGAGCTGATACGAAACTGACTTACAAAGTCGTTTATTTCTTCTGTGTTATCCTCTCAGATGTCATCAGATGTTCAGGTATTTCTCAGGTTTTTTGCATGTTGTATCTTAGCTTTTGAAGTGTGAAGATGGTATCTATATCTAGAAACAGATGTAACAGATGTATTTGCAAGCAGGTTTTGACACTACATAGGCAATAAAAATAATAATAAAAAGCTGTATTCTTATCATGCAGGTTTTTCTGACTGTATGTTTCTTAATCTGTTATCTGTTAAAATTTCATTTCAAAATTGTTTAAAATCTGACAAGCACCAACTTCAGAGAATTTATAAGGTATTTCAAATGTGATTCTAAAAACATAATGCTACCATTATAAATAAACTCTTACCTTGAAATCTAAAATAGGCATGTGTAATTTAAACTATCACTACTAAGAACAGACTAATCTATTTTAAGATACTATGGTTTGACTATATTTCTCTTCATATCACTGGAGAAAAGGTTTATTCTTTGGATTTTTAAAGACTGTTTCAGTATTGCTTTTTATTTTGTTAGATAGCTTTGTGGATTAGTAACAGGATTTTTCAAAACCATTAGGTTTTGACAAAAAGCATGGGTTGTGTCTTGTGTCTGCGGCATTCGTGCTTATTTTTATGTGGAGCACTGAAAGAATGCTGTATTAACAACAACAAAAAGTAAACCCTCAAAAACAAAAACCTAAACCAATCCCAGCTCTAGAGTTATGTATTACAGTCTCCTGAAAGATTTTGTGAAAATTCAATGCCTTAAATATGCACTGTGTATTTGTACATGAAACATATATCTGTGATCTGCAGTTTTCTGAGAAATGTAGCTGGTTAGTGGCTTAGTCCTCTAAAAATGTGGCATTTAGCTGTTTGAAAAAACCCATTCCCAAATGTTATGAAATTAACTTTGCCTGGATTTTTTTTTACCTCAGAAATCCATGATCACAGCACTAAAACTTGCTTTTTTTCTACTGTGATTGTTATCATGGATCAATGACTCCATGTCAGCTTTCGGCCATTGACTCTTCTTAGGTAACAGACCCGGGACAAGGAATTAGTGCATGCCAGCTTTTTTGGGTAATACTGCCTTGGACAGGACCTAGGCCTTGCACAATGGGGAGATGAGTCCAGTAGTTATTTGCATTTGAATGACTTCCTGAAGGGAGGGAGGGTGGTATCTGCTTTCTGATTGGTATCCAGCATTATTTCTACATCATTCTTCATCCTGCAAACAAAATCCTCCTGCATTTCTCTTGTGGGGCTCAGGACACTACTGTAAAGCCCTTTGCTGAGCTGATGCTTTAGCTGTGGCAGAATCCTTGTGCTTGAGGTGCCAGGTGGTTTGGCACCTGGTGTCAGGGTTGGTGAGGGGGAGCAGGGAGCCTCCAGGGGGAGAGTCAAGGGAAGCAGCCAGGATTCCCGGTCCTTGTCCAGCTGCTGGCGTGGCAGTGCACGTGCTGCGGCTGTAACGAGAGTGTCAGCAAGTCTGCAGAGGTTTGGCTTCCTGCTGTCACTCAGCTGGTGTGACACAATGAAGGCATTAGGGCTGAGGAGGAGACTGGCATAGGAGCTGTACAGTGTTAATTTTAAAATTATTTTTCTCCAGGATCTTTAGATCTGTCTCAGTTCTGTCTCGGTTTTGTTAATCCTGCCAGTTTGTCAGTGTTCAGACCAAGGTTTAGTGTGACCTTCAAGCTGCTTTCTTCCTGCTCCTGCTGCACTGTACTGCCAATGAGGACATAAGGAGTACCTGTCACTCCTCCCAGGGTAGCCAGGACTCTAGTTCTTGTCCAGCTACCTCTTTTTAACCTGCGGTGCTTCTCTCCATTCTATGCCCATTTATAGATCCTGGGACACTCCCTTGTCATCTCACAATGTTACCAAAACCTTTTCCCACCAGATGGATGCGGTAGAGGAGTTGTTTTTGCATCTGTCCTCTCCCATTTGCCTTGACCTAAAAGGCACTGAAACTCAAAAGCTTTGTTTGGAAAACTGTTTGGAGCTACAGGCTCCTTGCTCGGGCAGGTTCTCTCCTATTAAAAGCAGCTGGGTGGAGCATTAGCAGGCTTGCAGGTTACTGTCATTTGTCATATGAGGTGACCTAAATCAACTGAGTGATCCACCTATCTGGGACAAACACCCACGCAGTTCCTTCCTCCTGCAGCATCTTTTGATGCCCTCATTCCAGCGTAGATGACAAATACTTCTCTTGAGATCATGTTCAGTGCTTTATTCATCCCACATATTAACCAGAACCTTTGTGTTCTGGTGATCCACTTGGATCACAGTTAACTTGGTTGACTTGGGGCAGGGAGGGGGTTTAGGAATTAGACAGCATCCAGGTGTATTTAAAGCAGAAGTAATGTCCTGGGGATGTAAAAGAGAATTGTGGGAATATGTTGTAGGAGTTCCAAAATGTCAGCTCAGCTGTTCTCACTTCTGCCATGTCCTCACTCTAAAGTGATTAGCTCAGGACTTTTATGATAGAATGCCTAAGTTTCAACCTCTGCATTTAGCCACAGAGGAGAGTCTGGATTCAAAGATGTGTCAGCATGAATAGAGAGATGTGTCTGCTGACTGTCAGGTTATCTGGGCTTGAGTCAGAAGCCAGGCCAGGACTGAAGCCAAATCCTGCTCTCAGTTGGTTCTTGGTCATGTAAGTGACTTTTGAGAAAAAAGTTTTTGGTTTTGCATGTTTCCAAGGCTAAGGGGGAAAACATGGTTTCACTCACTGCCCTTTACTGTTCATTCCAAGCAGTCTCTTACTCTTGTCTCTTTTTAGCACGTCATCAAAGAAACAATTAACCCTTTGGCTTTTTTTTTTCTCACCTCAATGAGAGTTGTTTGCTTCTTCCAGCAATACCAAGGGACTTCGACTCATCCAGGACATTCAAAACTGACCCCTGGGTTTGTAGGCAGTGTGATTTTTATTGTCCTTCCTGTTCCTGTTGTTCCAACAGGTCCCCACAGCCAGTGTCACCATAGAAGGAGCGTCTGCCCTCAACCGTGTCCGCTGGGCCCAGGCTGGGAAGGAGGTGGCAGTCGGTGATTCAGAAGGCCGCATATGGGTCTATGATGTTGGAGAGGTATCTTCTGTTGGGATTCTTTTATGGTTTGTTTGTTTTGTTGGGTTTTTTTGTGTTTTGTTTATAAGCTCAACTCCTGGAGACTGCCACATCCAAGTTTAAGAAAGAAATCTGTCTTATTCTTTCAGTGGAGTCCTCATTGAATTTCGGTTGCCAACAGTGCATTAATCATAATGCTACCTTGCAAAAGAGTTAACTTGTTGAAATCTCATGAGAGAAATCTCTTTTGAAACCTACCAGTGCTTTTCAAGCTGTTTTTGTATAATGATCCTGTATAATGATCCTGTGTATAATGATCATTTGGAAAAAGTTAAAAGAACATAAAGAAAAAATTGAGGTGCAAAAAGAGGCAGTGCTGTTCTAAAATTTGTCTTAAAGGGTTCACCTTTTATACTCCAGTATCTCTTATTTTATGATTGGCTTATTGCTGTAAGTTTTTTGTCAGCATGACATGCATAGAATGCATCTGTTCTTTTGATACTGCTTCATATGTCTGAATATGTGCAAAGGTACTAACAGGAGGAAATAAGAGGTTTCATTCTGAAGGATAGTAGGGGCATGTGTGATAGACTATAGCAGGATGCATATTCTGTTTTTAAAACTGCTCTCAATTCACCCTGCTACATCTTATAACAAGGATCTAAACTGCAGTGCATTTGGCAGTGATAAATCTAACTCTTTGTTGATGAATGCAGTGTAAAAGTGTTCCATCGGCATTACAATCCCTTGGAACAGGTAAGGGTGAATCTCTGAGCAATAAGCTTTTATGTAGGGAATTTGTTTTTCATCATTATCTGTGATAGGATACCGAGATACACATCTCTACACAGTAGGGAAACATTATAGAATGCATACAGAATTATCTGTAACTCTCATAAAGTGATTTTATGGCCCATAGCAAAATTGCTTGTGCATGACTCATATTTTTGGATTTCATTCGCTAGTGCAGGAGTTGCCCTTCCTCACAAATGTTTGCTGAAACTTCTTGCCATGTTGTTAGCATAGTCTCTAAATTGTCTAAGGTTACTGTGCTCAGATTTCCACTGTGACACTGGCTGGTCAGCTGTTTTTATTTATTTTTCATTTTGCATGATTGTTCTGTCTTTTAAGTGATACGACAGGCTGTGGAAATGTCTTTGATGACAGCATAGTCTGATCTTGTCTGAGAGTCTAGACAGGCTGTAGAAATGTCTCTTTTTGCATATCATACACCAAATCATTCATAGGACTATTTACTCCTGCAAGTTCACCCAGAAGAAAATAGTGTTCTATGCAGAAGAAGCAATATGGAAGTTTTTGACCTTTCCTGTGTATAATAAGACGTCATCTTGCAAAATGAGTCATAGTGATACACTCAAATAAAAGACAGGCTTCTATTACTTGAAAAAGAAAACAGAGTCATTCAACAGTATTGATTTGTGTGAGTCCAGTTGAGTGTTACATAAAGAGTTCTGCTTCAGGGATGTTGCATGCCCTGCCCTTGCAGAGCCTCAGTGTCTCCAGCTCAGCTCCGCCTGTGCTTAAGTAAACCCCTGGATGTCTGTCCACACGGCTGCTGAGAGACCATTGCCAGTCCTGCTCTGCTGTAATGAATGAAGGAGCTCATTAATTTGTTGCCTGGTTCAGTCAGGCAGTATCAGTCTCTGCAGTAATTCCTGCATGAAATTTAGGAGAGGTCATCTGGGCTGCAGCACTGCTGGGGCTGCTGTGTTGTTTGTGCCTTTTTCTGGTTTAAAAGAGAAGGGTGCTCATATATTCTCTAGCCCAACTGTTCTCACTATAAAGCCTCCAGTGAAATACAGAAATACTTTGCAGATCAAGAGCCTGGAACCAAGGGCATGGACAGTGAGTAGCAGCCTCTTGGGTCATTAAGCCTGTGGGCCAGTCTGTGAAGAGCTCTTTGATGAGAGATTCCATCATTAGCTGTCCTCAGGCACGATGCATGGCGGCTTCACAGTGCACGTACACTCTTGGAAGTGTCTGGTACGGAAACATGGCAGCCTTTAAGGATTTTGCTTTACTTCACTGTGCAGACACTGGGCAGTTTTTGGCTCAGCTGGGGTTCTCCTTTGACTGTCCTTTTTGTAGGGGTTTGGTTCTGGGGTCTGATGGAGCTGGTCTGACAGTTTAAAAAGAAAAGTTCTTCTCCTGCCAGCCATCTTAGCTGCATCCCTTGCTGCCCAGTTTTTGTGCAGGTAGAAGGGCTTGTCACCACTCATATTGTGCAGAGAAAGACAGGTCAGTAGAGAAGTATAGATTTATTTATTTATTTGTTTTGTTTTCTTTGGGCTGTTTTTCTCTATTAAATGGCTCATGTGGGAGTAGATGAGTGAGCACGTAGCTGGGGTCAAGGAGCTGGGAGCTGGACTATACAGCACCCAGCAGAAGCTAACTTTTCTATTTGACCCAGAATATTGCAAATCCTGACACTAAGCTGTGAAAGTTGACCTTTCAGCAGCAGCACTCTCCTCATCTCCTACAACATCAGCTTCTGAAAAGGCCTTATCACTAGAAGAACTCATCTCTGCCTGGCTGATAACTCAGTAGCATCCACTTGTTTGAAGGTGCATCTCCCTGATTTGGGAAGATGGGTGTGATTACATGCATTAGAAAGTCAGGAGGCCACTTTACAAAGACCCTAAATACACTCACCAAAATCATTAATGCTCCACTTATACTGCACCCTTTTAAAAACCTTTGTTTACTTGTGGCTGTTCCAAATGTCACATTAGATCAGCTGTAAACTCGTAAAGCACTGGTTCCAGCAGAAAAAAAAATACTATATTTGTATTTTAATACAGCATTGTATCTTTCAATTTCACCTTACTAGAGAAACAGTTTTTCTTACCTGTTTCTTAGACAGCATTGACGCTGTGAATTTTAATCAGAGCAGAAAACATCAGGCTATCAACCATTAAGGAAAAAATTAAGTGGTAAGAATTTTTGCTTTGATAGATTCATCACAGTTTTAAGGAACTATCCTAGAGAGCAGTAAAGTTTACTGCTGCTATTAACCCATATGGTATAAAAAGAAAACATATGACCTAAGTGAAAAACATAAGACGTAAGGCCTAACCTTGCATCCTTTGTGAAGGTAAGGACTGTGGGATCAGGGCTGTTTTCACTTGTGCAAGAATTTAGGATTTGACCCATGTTGATATGTTAGCCAGTCATGGTCTTTATGACAAGAAATGTCAGACACGTGAATAACATGGCAGGGTCCATGACCAGGGAGTTAAAAATCATGGTGACACTTTCAGTTAGGCTATATAGTGTTATCTCCTTTGACTATGTACTTTTAGTTGTTTGATTTTGGCATCACATCTGAAAATAACTGAACACATTTATTTTCACAGTGAGGGGTCTATTTTCTCCTCTATGCGTGTGCTTTATGCCCATTAGCATTAATGGGAGTTACACACACACAATTCCAGCAGAGAGGAGACTTAAACAGTCCATATAGATGTGCTCTTGTGGATCAGTAAGCAACAGTTTTAAAGAATGAATTATGAAATGAAATAAAAACCCAAACATGCAAAAATCTGATTGTTTCAGTGTGATGGGATCTTAAACTAGTACATATAACCAGTCATTGTATATGCGCTTCAGTCTCTGTAAGATCTAAATATTCAAACTTCTGCTGGCATAGTAGTTGTGATATTATCATTGTGATAGCTTGTATGATATATTTTAGCTCCTGTGGCCTTAGGCCTTCTTTACTGGGCAGCAAGTTTTCTGTATGATAGAAGCTGATTTTAAGAGAGCATGGACCACTGCCTATAGATTTATTCACATGTTCAGGTGATTGATAGTTAGACCTAACTGCATGTCTGTTTTGCAGATCTGTTTTCTAGAAAGCTTGCTCCCATTGTGCACGCTTCAGTGATGTTACACAGTGCCTGCTGTCATAAATATTCTCTAACAACCATGTTTGTTGCTTACCGTGCTTATTGCAAATGCTCTTTGCACCTTTGCTTGTAAAAGAAGCAGCTTCTCATCCACCTTCTATTATTTCTTTTTTTTCCCCCATCTATCTCTTCCAGGTCATATTCTGCTTGCACTGTGAGTACATAGATAGAAACTGTGAGTCAATGACTTATTATTTCATTCTAATAAAATATAAAACAAGTTTGCAACATAGGATCACAGAATTTGAAACTCTAATCACCAGGAGCATAATGCAGTGCATTATTTTGCTAAAGTGGTTACAGGACAAGCTATTGCCTCTGTTTGGCAGTCTTTCAGACAGTTAGTTCTAGTCATGCTTTTAAAAGGCAACTAGTGTTGACAGGTGGACTGGAGAGAAGTAAGAAAATGTCTTTCTCAAAACCATCCAGGAAGACAGGCTTGGCCAACGGAGCAGTTACCTGGGATTCTTTGTACAGTTGTTACCTCTGTCCCTGTTTCCTTGCAGTGAAATCAGAATCCTATGGATGTTTATGTGACTTTGTCAGGTTTCAGAGTTAATACTGCCTTAAGGCTTTTAGGGCTGCTGTGTTAGGTTGTTTGTGTACTTCCCCATTTGCTCCATCATAGGTGTTAATCCCATATCTCGTTTTCAAATACATGAGCAGCGAGGGAGGAGCTGGTAACTGCCCTGAAGTACGTGGAAGTGGTACAGTAAGGATATCCTGCTGGTGCCTATAAAATAATTTCCTTTGATTCCAGCAGTCTTTAACAGCTGCTCTGAGATTCTTAGGGTTCTAGACAAAAACAAAAGTATATTTGTGACCAGCTCTCACATTTTGGTATGACTATTGAGTCACTTTTTTTTCTGGCTAGAGTGGGGGAGCATTTGTACTTTGTACTTCTGTCTGATGATCCCTGTGTTTCACTGTAGATTTCATATGGAAAACACATATCCAGCATCTCTTTCATGCAGTTAAAAACTGCTGTAGCCCAGAGAGAGAAGTATGAAGCTAGATTTTGTGTCATGTAGTTATTCTGGTAGATTTTCCAGTAGGTTTTCTTTTGCCATCATAAAGCTTCTATAGAGCATA